TGATAATAATAATAATGATAATGATAATAATAATGATGATAATGATAATAATAATAATGATAATGATAATAATAATGATGATAATGATAATAATAATAATGATAATGATAATAATAATGATGATAATGATAATAATAATAATGATAATGATAATAATAATGATGATAATGATAATAATAATAATGATAATGATAATAATAATGATGATAATGATAATAATAATAATGATAATGATAATAATAATGATGATAATGATAATAATAATAATGATAATGATAATAATGATAATAATAATAATAATAATAATAATAATAATAATAATAATAATGCTTTATCTGGGGCCGGTCGTTCCTTACCTTAGCCGACTTTCTATTCCGCGTGTTGTTCTTGCTTAAGCCGACGGCCGCTCGCTTAATCCAAGGACTTCCTGGGCTTTTTGTTTCTCGGGCTTTTTACGGGATGGGTTTCCGCGACATTGTGGCGGTTCTATCCGATCCGGTTGCTACCTCTCTGGCTGAGAGAAATTCTAGCCCCGATCGCTGAAGCTAATGAAGCCGTGGCTGGCGTTGGATAAACTTTTTCATAAATATTTCGCAGTTTACCGACGCAATGGTCAAATGGGCGTTATTGCGAGGAAGGATCGATCGATCGATTTAATCGGGACTTATTGTCGGCGCTGCTCGTCCATTCTGCGGGCATAAAACGTTAATTGTTATTGAAGCCCCCGGGAATAATGTTTCATGCACTTTGGTGCACGGCTCTTCAAATTAATACTTTCTAAATTTAAATGTACCTCGGTTTAAAAATAGCCCGAGTAACGCGTACGCTATAATTCTCATAAGTGAACTCTCTAAAGTAATAATAATAAAAGAGAAGAAAAATACAAAACAAAACAAACAAAAAAACCAAAAAAAAAAAAATAGAAAAAGAAGAAGAAGTGGAGGAAGCAGAAGCAGAAGCAGAAGCAGAAGAAGAAGAAGAAGAAGAAGAAGGAGAAGAAGAAGGTGAAAAAAAAACGTTGGTCGATGATGTGACGCTGCTCTAATTTGCGCCCTCGTGCAAATAAGCGTGCGGTGTGTAAAGTATTTTGCCAAGCTTCTTTGCCTTCCGCTACGAAAAATGAAGCAACGCAAAGACAATAAATAAATGCATTACGCCCATAACGTTGACGCAACAATTATAATTACGAATTCGTTAATGCACGAAAGAAAGCTCGTTCGCGCGATCTCAAATTATCCAGCTCCCGTGATTTATTCACAAATTAGTGATTATCTTCCGCTCGAATTGAGATTAAATTCAGCATTAAAATCATTGTCAAACAGCATTAGCTGTCAAACTTGGCATAGAAGTTGCATATCAAGTGAGGCGATTAGTTTGCATTGCGACTCGCGTAATAATCTAGCAGGAGATGGAAGTCGATCGAATTTCTATCCGGGAAATCATAAAACTCGTTTGCCCAGAGCCCGCCGCCTCTATCCATAAACGCGTAGATCGCGCCACAGGTGGAAAAATCGTGGCGCAGTCGGTTTTCCCGCATTTTGCACAGGATGGAAGGATCCTCTCGCGCATCCTGATTTATCGACCGATCGACAAAGGCGCGAACAAGCCCAGAGCGCAGTGGCGCCATGTGATATCGGTTTACACAGAAAACGTTGCGCTCAACCTGACTTTTACCTCATTTTCTACCTCTATCATTCATTCCCGTCTTTCTCTCGGCTTCCAGGCGACCTCTCTTCCCTCGCCGCTGCCCTTTTCTTCTTCATTTTGCTCGACGTACGTATGACGTAAAAAGCCATAGGCGAATAGTTTTTTACTGGTCAAGTAAATGCGGTAGACAAGCACGCGAATTTACACGCGTAAATCGGCAGTTTGCAAATCATTTTAAGTGCTGTTGGTTTGGGTGTAGGTACATTTGATATCGCTCCTCTACTTCGACGCGTCTATTAAAACCTTAAAGCACCCAAGTGGTTGCGCCACACCTGCGCATAAAAGGGCTCGTAAATCCTTGCAATAATTAAATTGAGGATTTTTTACCGATCTCCGTTTGTAAATAATTTATCCTCTTGCTACTTCATTTTCTTGGTGAAAGTGAAGAGATTGGCAAAAAAAAAAAAAAAAAAGAAAAAAAAAAAGAAATATTATACTTATTAAGCAAGCAATGATCCTTGTTTGATAACTAATCTGTCTAATAGTGCTACAAATTACTCTTTACACCAGCGAAGGAAGAAAAAAAAATTTACAGACTTTCCAATATGATTGTGTGTGTGTGTGTATGTGTATGTGTATATATAAACACATATCTTTTTTTATTTTATCTTATTTTACATTTTAAAAGTCCTATACGGTATAACAATAGCGTGCTGCTGGAAGGATGGAGTGTACATTATTATAATGAAAGGGAAAAAAATCTTCAAGAATAGTTGGTTTCTTCCGATAAGATCTACTTTCAAAAATAATTTAGCTCGTCAAATTTGTACTACATTGAAGTTGCATACTTGAC